GAGGTGGTGAGTGAATTTTCACCAGAAGAAACACAAAATTCTTAGTCACACAAAGAAGATACACTGCCAGCACCTTGAATCATGTGGGGCAAGCCAGAACAAGTTTATGAAGAAATGGAGTTATTGAAACCACAAGTCAAACTTCTGTTAGACTAATAATAATAGATAAGACTGCTTGAGCCTGTAAGAGCCACAAGCAAAATTAACCAGCAAATACTACAGCAGCAGTATTTAAACCAGGGCCATTTGTAACTGGGCACCCACCTCCCATCTGCTGCTGCTTCTGTGTAAAGCCAACACAACGCAAAGCATCTTGCCGGCACTGGTTGAGTACAGCTCCTGAATAAAGAGTTACACAGGCTCACGTACTCCCGGGCAGAAAGCCTCCAAAACTGATTTTGGACCGTTTGATTTTAGTGAGCGCAAGCTGAGGCCCCAGAATCTTGCTAAACAAGTTGCCTCCTCATCAGAGGCCACCCACATGACCATTGTTGCAGCGGAAAGTTGAGGACACTGAAGTTTAGCTGCAGGCTAAGTAAGGTAGAAAGAACAAGCACAAATTTATATCACTGCCCTATATAGTTTTAATTTGAAGGACACTCTCCCCTCCCCCAAATACCACCATCCCTGATACATAATGAATAATCTTCACCTGCTGCTCATAGCCACAAAAGGACATTTAAAGCCACCATGGGCTCTTAAAACAGCACAGCTGAAAGTCCACTGGCAAACCAGTGGTTTCAACAGAGGTGGTCTGTATTGACTAATTCAGTTCCTATTTCCTCATAAAACCAGTCCAAGTCCCAACTAAAAAAAGCCTTCTGAGCTTCCTGCCTTTTTTTTTTTTCCCCTTCATAAAGTAGCACAGTGCTCCATAACATATGCGGATCAAAGAGCTACGAAGGGCTCTACCTTTCCAAGGAGCACGAAAGAGAGGCCAAGCAAACAGCAGAGGAACACTGGGGAGAGAGCACCCTGCCGCTTTATATTTATTTTGTGCCTTTTCATCCCGGATTTTCAAAGGTTTGGTCCAGGTTGCTCTTCCTGGGAAGGTTTTCCTCTCGGTCTTACATGAAAACATTCAGCTTCCTGTTGAGGAATGGCCTTGAGGCGCCAGGCCAGTAGTTCACAGCAGTCTGATACAAGACCTGTGATTCAGAGCTACTCCCCATTAGCAGCCAAGAATGACTACTTCACTGAAGGAAATGAAATGCTCTTCTGTTGAGATGGTTCCCTGCTTCCTCCCCCCTTCCCTTACCAGCAAGCTGTCTTTGAAGTCAGGAGGTTAAAATAGCGACGGCGGCCTCGCTCCAGCCCTCGGCTCTTCCAGACAGCGGCCATCGCTCCTTTCTCAAGCCGAAGGCAGCTTTCACAGCGCCTGCCTCCTTCCCACAGCCCCTCTCGGTGCCTCGTTATCCCCCGCTCCGGCAGAGAGCGTTATCCCACACTACTGTCATCCCACACTACTGTCGTTCTGCACGGGGTCAGGCACAGCGAAGCCCCGAATAGTTTTGGATTTTCCTGCAGCGCAGGAAATGACCCAGTAGGTCTCCTGAAAACAGCACCTAGAACCCAGCCTTTCCCCAGCTGCACTGGACATCGTTCCCGCTGCTGATAAGCCGAATACTACCTAAAAAACACGGATGGCGATGGTGTTGCCTTACAGATAGAAAACAGGTCAAATCAGGATTCTTTTCAAGAAACCACAGGCATGTGCTAAGGAGACTGAAGACTTCCCACATCTAAGGCTTCACTGGGGGGCTGTAGCTGAAGTCTGGCCAAGGGAGGCATGCCCTAGCAAAGCCCAATCCACAAGTGAAGTCGGCACAATCAAAGGCTGCAATTACAGCTCCCTGGCTGTGGTTAGGCTTCAAAGAAAGTGCTGCAAGTCACATTTTACATATGTGAAGTCTTGAGCCCGAGCCACAATAGCAGGCACTGTCTGTGCCGTTTGCAGCGTACATCTGACTGGAGGAGGAAAGGGGAAAACAAAAACAGAAACAAAAAAAAACCCCACCTTGAGTAAGAAACAGAAGTAAAATTCGACCATCATTCAGTGTAAGAAGAAAAGCTTTACTAACTGAAGTGATAAAACTGCATTTCAGGAGACACTACAGCGAAACTAAAGCCTCCTAACAAGCCTGGGCTCAATGGCCGAGGACAAGAGCATCAGAGGGGGATCAAGAGTCCTCCTCACGGTGCTTGGGAATGAGACAGATTGAAGGGTGGGTCCACAAGGGCCTTGTGCTCCTCCTCTAGTCTTTTAAACTCACCTCTGTTTTGCTAGAACAGGAGAGAGGATTACACAGCTTCATCCAGGTCGTGCTAATCGGAAAAGGTTATGGAGAAAAGTAAAGAGTGTCTGGGTCGGAAGAGGAGTAAGTACAGAGTAAAAGAGATCGCTAACCCTTCACGGAAGGCAAGAGAAAGGCACTTTTTTTCCTACACCTTTCCCCACCATAGGTTGTTTTGATGCAGAAGAGACAAGACAACTTATAATAGTAGTTACATATATTTTTTTTAAAAAGTCAGTCTCCAAACCTGGCTTTTAATCCAGTACTTCAAACAACATGGCAAACTCAGGGACCCAGCAGCTGAAACTGTCATTTTCTTTTGAAGTCCAAAACGAACATGTTTGACTTACTGCCAGGGTTTATCCAATACTCCAGAAACTCGGGTATGCAAAACCACGTCATTATTTATCAGAAAGGTTCACACTGTTTGTGAAGCCCCTTTGTGTTTTCTTTAGCAGCGAAGCTGGAGAGAGTTTCAGGCGCGCACGGATAGATGCCGGCGCTGCAGTCTGCTCCTCTTCCTGCCCAGCTGTGCCATGGTTTGTGGGGTTAGCCCAAACCAGATCCTTCAAATGTTCTGGGCAAACAAAAACAAACACTCCACAACTTTTGTTGTTTCTAAACAAAAAAAACCCAACCCAATAACCCACCTCCCAACAAAATCCCAGTCATTTTAAGCAAGCCATTTGCTGCAGGGTCTCACACGCTGTTACAGCACATTGATGGAGAGACCTACGGGAGACAGGAAAAAGCCCTCTCCGCAAGAGATGGATACCAGAAGGCAGCAGAGGAAACCTTTTAAGCTGCCTTTGTTGCCAAAGAAATTGCATAAACTTGTACCCTACAACTGTAACAAATACTGCCATGTTGAGCTATGTCAGTTAAGTTTTTTTGGTTTTATTTTTGTTTTTTTCCCCTTTGCTACTCAGCCTCAGCCCATTGCTGGTAACTGTAAATGGAGACTCCAGTAACAAATCATCCACTGGTGTTTTAGATACCCTGAAATAGCTACCTCTGAAAATATCTCTCCATTGACTACAGGTGGAGCCTGGTGTCCTAACTTCTGTCCTCTTAGTTTGGCCTAAGCTAGATGCATTAGGTGAACCGCAGGAATACCTCCCTTCCATGAGTCAGAGACCTTTTCCAGAGCAGCGTCATGTCAGCACGGGAAACACCCAGGTACTTTAGGGCTCCCACTTGGTGCAGCTGAAGCCAGTGATGCCAAAGCAGGTGTTGCTCTTATCAAAGGCCCCCAGTGTAGGCAGCATGAAACTAGAAGCTTTATCACTGAGCTACAATCTTTAAAATGATCCTGCTTGAAGACCCACAACATGTTTTTTCCTGTTGGGGGCGGAAAGGGAGAGAGGTTCCATCTTTATAATAAAAACCAGATTACTTCTAGACAGCCGTCTCTAGCAGCCTCTTAAAGCAGAATAATAAACTAAAAGTGATCTTGAGGGAGGAAGAAATAGGCTTGTCTCCCTTTTCTATCTTTATGGCATATAATAAATATTCATAAGACTATTTTTTAATTATTTATTTTATAGATTCAGAGCTGTGAAGAAAGATGCATCCGTTCTAGGGGCACTGAAACTGCTTCTCCAGTTTTTACCTGCTGTAACAGAAAAGACAGGAGGTACTGGCAACGCAGTAAGTGAAAATTCTTTCAGAAGGAAGAAATAAAAGTTTCCTTTGTAGATCATCTTTTC